GTTAGTCATCCAGCAAATTCACCTAGGCACCATTTATTAGCAGTGAAACATTCTGGGTGCTGTGGAGGGGATTTCAGACGTGGATGTGATTATTTCTAAGACCCCGCTCTCAGCAGTGCCTCCTGCTAGGGGTCCTGTCCTGGTGGGGGTCTCTGGGCAGCCTGAGAGCACTGGGTGTCTGGGCAGGGGGTGTAGGGGGACCCGGAACGAAGGAGAGGAGCGTGGAGAGGGAAAGAAGGGGGCCCGCAGGTGCTCTTGGGTCTGCGAAGCATGGAATCAGTGAGTGTCTGTGTGTCTGGAAAGTATTGCTCACCGACCTTTGCAGCTGCCCAGGATTTTGATTCAGATTAGAACCAGAAATGTTCGAGCTGAAAGAGAGCTTAGATACCATCTTCGCTGAGCCCCCAAGACTAGATGACTTGTTCACGGTTCCGCAGTGGACCGGAAGCAGAGCCACGTCAGAACCAATGACGTGGGCATCTCCGACCCTCCGCCTGCATCCCTTCCCTGCCCTGAGCCGCTTCCCCCAGACCGTCCTCTTCCTCCTCCGAGTGGAAGCGCTGGGCAAACATCCGTGAGCGTTTCGTGCGGAGCAGGACTGCCTGTCCACACACCTAGAGACCTGAGGTCTCACTGCTATGTTCAGAGCAAAGGACCCAGAGTCTTCACCATAGGTTAATTTGAGGCCGGCGACGCTAACTTTGCCTGACTGCTTCCGCATTCTAATCACTTTATCGTAAAGGTTATGGCCCCATCGCAGCATTACCATGGCTCTCCCTGCTTACCCTCTTCTCAGCCCAAGCTCAGACGGGTTTTCCGCAGGTTCCCGCCTCCCTCCGCCTTCCTGGACGAGGTGGCGGCAGGAGTAACCAAGTCAGGGGCAAACAAGTGCTTTCAATACCCTCTTTACTGGTCCGAAATGAACCCCTAAGCAAATAACCTGCTCCCGTACAGACGTCCTCTTTTCCTCCAGTTTGATGGTCTGCTGCTTTGTCTTGGCAAGTTATTTCACCTTTAATTAAGTTTATTTTCCTCTTTGTTTCATCGTGCTCAAGACTGGTCTGATTTAGAAGCGTAAGATGCCAGGGCTTGCTTTGAATAGAGCGTTGGAAGAATTGCCAGTTGCATGAGTTAGGGTGGCCACTAAGAATCATGGGGAGCACATCTTGTACCACGAAATTCTGCCATGTGTCACAGGTGTCCTTCACGTTCTAAAGCATCATCGTCGACAGGAAACAAGAGATTTGATTGGAAAAAGTTATAGTATAATAAGACCTAGAGAAATAGGGGGGTGAACTGCTGGTGGGAAAAATCTAAGAGTGAAAACAAGGCAGAGACCCACCCTCTCATCCTACGCTTTTAATGGATCATTTGGTGGCATAGACTTTTATTGTTGTGCTCTAAAAATTTATACAAAGAGACGTGGGATGGAATAATACGAAATATTTTTCTAACCGCCAAGATAATGACTGTTAAATATGCCAGAGGGCTCCTGGCTCAGGGTGCGGCCATTCTGGCCCAGGCTGTGTCTGGCGGGGCGGTGGGGGGCCCTCCGAGCGGCACAGCACAGCGGTCTTGGAGGAGAATGCGAGAGCAGATTCAAAACGGATTAGGCATTACAGGGCTGCTGGATCTATGCTTGCTTTTGAAAATAGCTATGGAATCTGCCTTTACACGGTTTGTTAGATTCTGAATTTTAGTGGTAGGAGCGACGAAACACACAGGCCTTTGTGGCCGAGTAGGTATCATTTCTCCATCCCGTTTACGCACCATCAGGACTGAGGTTCGAGATATCCACACGGCACGGGCGGCGACCAGTCAGAGCCCACACAGACTGATGGGTGCTTACCAGCCGAAGGTCAGCCCCACGCGGGGCCACGTGCTCCTCTCTGTCACGCTGAGCCTGGCTGCAGCACACCCGGAAGACACTTGAAAAGGGGGACTGGCTCTCTAGGCTCAGAGGCCACCCAGCGCCCTCCGTGCACGTGCAGTAGGGTAAAAGCGAGCAATGGCAGAACTGGCTGTGTTTTATTTTATTTTTTCAGTAGGGAGGTAATTAGGTTTATTTATTTATTTTTAATGGAGGCACTGGGATTGGCTTAAAATTTTTTTTCTTTCCTTTTAATTTTATTTATTTAAATTTTTTTGGGGGGGAGGGAAGTAATTAGGTTTATTTACACACACACACAGAATATTTATTTATTTATTTTAATGGCGGTACTGGGGGCTGAGCCCAGGACCCCGGGCCCGCTACGTGCACACTCTGCCACCGAGCTCTCCCCTCCCTCCACAAAGCTAGCTTTCAAAGGACATTTTAACGGTGTTATCGATCCGTTCTGTCCCTGGAGTGTTGGGGTTGTAACCCGCCTTACAGTTTATAATATACGTTGTAAATGAGAATTAAAATGGAGAGAGAGGAGTCTTTTGATGGGAAGTCTGGTTCACAGGCTATTAAATAAACCAGGCATGACTAGTAGGAGGGAAAAGAGAGCTAAGTACGTATTCTGGAGAGACTGCAGAGGCAGGCTCATAAGGATTTGGCTGAAAAAGAGAAAGCGCGCGGGGGGGTGGGTTAGAGAGGGAGAGGGGCTGGTCAACAGTGACTCCGTGGTTCTGAGCTGGATGACCGGGCCTGTGATGGTGGCTTTAGCAGAGTCGGGAAATACAAGCGAAAGATCATAAGAAAACAGAACGAGTTCACGGAACCTGCGTGAAGCCTGGCAGAGGTCAGAACTGGAGGTGAGGACTGAGGTGCTCTGCACTGAGTGCTCCTTGAAGGCACGGGGTGGAAGGAGAAAACCAAGGGGAAGTGAAGGCGAGGAGGAGAGAAGGGCGTTGGAGGCATTTCAGGAAGGAAGAGGAAAAGGGGCCAGACGGCGGGTGGGAGGCGGGTGACGACAGGTGGACGGGATGAAAGAGGAAAAGGCTGTGTGAGAGCATCTCAGGGGCTGAGGTCACAGAACAGGTCTTTCCTTGTATCTGAAGCTGCAGAGAGGTAGAAGGGGATCAGAACATTCCACAAGACCAGGCCAGAGGGCCGTCCCTGGAGGAGGCAGTGTCAGGAGAGAGACTGGAGGGCAGAGCTGAATTTGGGGGTTGGAGACGTAGAGGCAACACACGTAGATCAGGCGGTCAGAAGTCTCGTGGGGCAGGGAAAGAGGAACATGAGACCAATGACTCAAGGTTTACCGACTTTCTTGCCCATTTGGGGATATTTAATGATTCTCAAAATTTAAGACATCACCTCAGTGCTAGCTACATCTTGATAATCAAAACAGAACCAGGTTCTTGGGGGCAGTGGGGACAAGAAGGGACTTCAACTATTCAGAGGCATCCTTCTTTCTTTTATTCCATTTTTATATATTCACCTCTTCGTCATTAAGTCACAACATTTTACCAAAATATACAAACAGCACAGATACTTTAAACATGTATAGCTAGAATTCTAATTAAATAAGATTGCTGCAAACGGCATGCATGGGTCTTTATCTTGAACGACATCTCAAGAGACTTATGAGTCATCAAATCACCCGTAATGGTGTAATAAAAAGATTGGTTTTCTCTTCTCTAGTAGAATTACGCACGTCATTTTTTTTTTCTTGTTCTAATGTGAGGATGGTGATGAGAGGCTGCCACCGATGCTGAGATCAGCTGAGAGTGGATGGATGAAAAGGTTTTATTTGCAGTAGAATGTCTCTATATTGGTTGGACTCGAAATTTGATTACTACGATACGATAACCAGAATAGGGCTGTATTAAACCTTCCATATCAATGACACGAACTCTCCCCACCTTCTCTCTTTCCCACGAATTTCACAGCTAGTCAGAATGAATGGATTTGTAAATCTCAAGTTACAAGCTACGTTTATTATGAAGAATTCCCATAAGAACCTACGCAGGGCTTCCCCCACCCCTTATTTACACCTTCCAGGGATGTGAACAGAGTAAAACGGGTTAGTGGTTACTTGTCTGTGGCAGAGTGGAAGCCACAGTCACGCCAGGCCACGTGCTGGTTCAGCCTTTCAGGAGTTCGTGCTCACGCTGTGCCTTCAGTGAACAAGGATTTCACTGATCAGCAGTCCGTGCTCAAGGGAAGGGCCACGATTTAGAGCGTTGTTAAGTTTTCAAATCTTTCACAGCTCGGAGAACCATCTTTCATCAAGTAGATAGCTGTGGTTAGTAACGACCTGATGTCAAGCGTGGCTGTGAAGGAAGACCCAGGGGCCTCGTTAGTGGCACAGAGCTGGTTTCTGCTGCGCAGCCAGCGAGGGGCGCGGTGGGCTCAGCCTTTGTGGTTGAGTGTTTCTTTTCTTTTCCAAGATGAAAAGGAACCCAGGAATTGTCACTTGGGCCAGTTCACAGAGGAGAGACGGCAGATCCCTTCGTGGACCTGGGGAGGTGGGATTCAGGATATTAGCCTCTCCATCCTCGGGTTCATGAAGGAAAAGTTTCTGAACATGTTCTGGTCCATGCTGTTGATCAGAGCTCTGTCTGCACATGACAGCCGGGGCTTCTCATTCAAGAATTCCTTGTCGAAGTTGCTGCAGTCATGCGGTGATTTCTGGATCAAAGTTGAAGGTGGAGGAGGGGAGGAAAAGGGGAGAAAATCAACCACTGAAGTCATCACCCTCACTTCCGCTGCCCAGGCTAGTACCTGCGTGTGAAAACGCGGGCGTCTGCACTAAAGCAATACTTACAGATGGTCACGTGGGGCTGTTACTCAACACCTCTAAGGTCCTGAGTCATCAGTTTATCAATGGTATAATTAAATTCACATAAAGGAATTCCATCATGCGTACGTTCAAATAAGGTCTAATGTTTCTAGTTAATAGCTTACGTATGAAGCAGGCTGGCAACCTTTGAAAAAGTGGAAAGCCCCAATCTGACCAGTGTCCTGTTCGTCTGCAGGGGACAGTGGGTGAGGGGGCAGTGGGAGGTGGGAGGGGGTGGAGGGTGGGAGCAAAGGGACCAGAGGAGGGAAGGCGTTTTGCAGATTGTATATTCCTGTTCTTTGACCAACATCCTTCACGGCCGTTGGTCCCCCCACCACACGGCCCCGGGGCCCTCACCACTTTAGGCCTGAACGGCGGGTCAATCTCCTTTCTTTCCAGCTCCTCCCAGTTGATCTCTCGGAACAAGGGGTGCTGGCGAATGTCTCCCCTCACTCCCAGGCGGTTTTCAGGTTCCCGTACGAAGAGCTGAAAGGGGACAGAAGGGGAAGAGTTACTTCTCCAGGGGACGAACCTGCCCCCTTGGATGCAAGCGCACTTCTTGGTTTGGGAGCCAGGACCACACATGCTTGACTCCACCAAGGGAAAGGCCCTGCTCATGCCCCCGGCCTTCCGAACCTTGTTTTCTATTTACCATTATAAACGATCACGTCAAACAGGGGGTAACGGTCTCCCTTGAAGGAGCCTGCTGACTATTCTGGAGTCTGGGCTTCACCCCAGAAATGTTATCTTTTAAGTAATACAGACCTGGATTGAAATCAGCTTTGCCCTGGGTTATTCGCAGGGCCTCTGGCAAGTT